GATTTTCACCGAGATGCCAATGAGGCTGGAAATTTGAAGGTGAGGTACATGCTTTTATTTAGCCTCGAGGTATTTTTTTAGTATTATGCAATCGAACATTATTCTTTTCTCATCCATCAGATTTCACCCTTGGCTTGTCCCCAAAAGTCGTATCTCGCTACCAGTCGTGGAATCCTCACAGGGAGGTGTTGTACCAGGGAGGTTGAGAAATAAGAAACGACCATCAAATCGGTGGATAATCAGCGAATTCTTGTGTAAGTCAAACCAGTCAAGGCCGCATATCAAACTTCCTGAGGGGTTTCTTTCACACAGTGCAAAGAGGAGTCTGATAGCTAGCAAATATTTGTGAGCAAACGTATCTAACATAGAGTCCTATGAACATAATCCATGCCCCGGATGAGAATGATCCATCTAGCACTTATTCTGCACATAAAGGCAAACTTTTTGACGCCTGTCCATGACCCTCGAAATCCTAACATGATTCTAACACTGATGTTGCCTGCGCGTCTGTGTGATGGGCGCTTTATCTGATTAAGCGTTGATCGATTCAACCAAATGCAAAGGCCACCGGCTGTGGTGGACTGTGAGGCCACACTTTGACCATAAGTAGCATGTGAACGAAGCTGTGTAGCAAGCAATACAAATTGTAATCATAAGAGCAATGGCTAATGCTTATCGAAAGCAAGGAAGCTGCGGCATCGTCGATAGTCCCGCGCCCAAGAAATTGGAAAGGTTGTCAAGGAAGAATGCGAGAGAAAGGTTGCTCAGCGAGTAGAGAACCCATGGTGGCTCTTGTCCTGAAGGCTGACGCCGCGCAGTTGTTGATCAAGAAGTTCAAGGGGCGGTCTGTTCTCTTCACGTCTTCCGACAGTGATGTTTCCTGTTGGGGAAGCGTTCACGTCTCCCAGCTTGGCACTATTACCACGAGAGTTGGTCGTAACTGCAGGAGTTAAGGATGCAGTGGCATGCCCAGCGTAATGAGGCAGCACGCCTTGGGCAGTCATGGGGGAGACTTGTCCTGCAACTACGTTCGCGCTCGTTTTCCCGTTTTTTCGCATCGTGGACCAGATGTCTTTCGGATACTTGCTGCAACGAAGTTAGCATCGGTTACACTGAGTAGTATAGTATTCATATACCTCGCATCTCGATCAATCCGGCGCCCTTTGAAGAGAAGATTGCCCTCTTCGTCACCCGAGTCGTCTGAAGCTCTAGCACGTAACTTCTCACTCGGGATTCGTGGACGCTCATTGATCGCACGGCGAAATTCCAGGTATCGACTTCCAGAATGAGCAGCGTGGGATTCAGATCGTGGCACCTCGGAGGTTGAGCTTGCGTGGAGAGAGTCGTCGGTACGATGCAAAGACTCAGAGCGAGTAGCATCATCAAAAGCGTAACGGGCAGAAGGCCTGGTAGCTTCGGAGACAGCATGGAAGGGATCAACCTCGTTGGGCTTCATAGGCGGCGTCTTTGACTCATCTGGCCCAGAGCCGTTTTGCGGAACAGACTCATCAGCGCCAACAGGCTCCTCCTTGATAACGCAGGGCGGATAGAAATTCTTGCCGTCATACAGAGGGAGTCCATTCTCGAAGATAAAAGGTGCTCGTCCCCAATATGTGAAGCGAGCACGCTCCTCCTCTGGTGTCAGCTCACGATCGTACACATAATCAGTGTCTCTGGCGTTTTCTGGCCGAACTCCTGGCTTGAGCTTCCCAATGAGATAGGGAGGACCCATACTCTTGTCAGCATGGAGCTTGTTCCTGAAGAACGTTCGCCAGCCCTCAGCGTTCTTGTACATGCGTTCGTATTGCCGGATCTGTGCCCCCTCGTCGACTTCTTCCACCTCAGTGGGTGCGATAGCGGAAGTCGATAGATCTGAGCGCGGCTGGAAGACAGGCGCCAAAGCAGCATGGATCGGAAGGCTTGATGGCTTACGCTGTTGTACATCGTTATTCTTCGACGCATTGCTGAAGTTCTTGGCCGAAGGGGCTGCCGTGATTTGCAGCCGGCTTTGAACACTCGCAATTTGTGGAAAGGTGCCACCAGTCTTGTCGACCGTCGATTTATTCCCGAAGCCCGAGAGATGCACTGCATTGACAGCGTTTAGGCCGTCGGACTCGCTGTTGCTATTGCCATAGTCATTGGATGAGTTGGAAGGCGGTCCGTTAGGAGACACGACCTCTGGGGGATACTTCCTGGACTCGAACTCGAGCTGAGTCGTCAGCATGCGCTCGAAATGCTCAATCTCGCGGCAAATGTTCTCAAGCTGCTCTTCCATGTCTCGAGCATCGATCTGGTGCTTGTTGTACCGAAGTTGGTCTTGATGGTAGCGTTTTTGACTGCGAAGAACCTCAAGCTGCTTCTGGGTAATCGAGCTCGGACGAATTGACGACACGGGAGGACTGGCGGAGCGCGAAGGCTCATTCTGTAAGCGAAGAGGTAATTGCTCAGGCTGTCGTGACGATGGGTGTCCATATCTAGCAGGAGCTGCGTTGAAATCAACACTGGGGCGAGGAGCCGATGGACTGGGGACAACAGGGGATGCAAAGCTCATCTGAGGCGGCATGCTGATAGGGTATAGAGTACCTCCATTTGCGATCCACCACTGTCCGTTGTAGAGAAATGGTCGGGAGTTGTCGAACTGATCGGTAGGAGAGAGGTGAACATTTCGTGCCTGTTCCATACCCGCGTCCGGAAGCTTGCCATAAGGAGCAGCTTGACTCGGGAGCTGCATGGGAAGACCAGTGGTAGGAAACTGACTGTATGAAATGGGAGCCAAGTTGTAACCCATAGGAGGAGGCATAAAAGGCATCCCTTCAGGTCGAAGTGCCATTCCTGGTAAAGTCCCTGGAGCATGTGGAGGAACCATGGGAGCAAAGTGGCCCCAGCTAGGAGGAAGAATAGGATAAGCAACGCCCTCAGGCTGGTTACCATTCATGTTACGAGCCTGGCTCTGTCCATCGATCGAGCTTCGCTCGCGGCTCCATTTGGTTGTAGGAGAGTGAGGCCCTCGAGTGTTAGGCACGATTCGGCCACCAGCAGTGACCCGAACATGGGTAGGGGAAACAACAGAGTTGTAAAACTTCTGAAAGCCTTCCGATTTCTGTGTTGCAAGATCTGCTGGAGCAACAGTCGGTGCCCGATCAAGCTCAGAATCACTCCGGCCTCGGTACTTGAGATCCGAGTCGGTACCGTCAAGCTGCTGCGCAGGACGTCGATGCATCTCGTCAGCGTCGCTGGAGTTACCCTCTTCGATGATAAGGGACAGTGATGGACTGTTCACGAAAGGGGTGCGGATGATGTCTTCTGTTTAATGTTAGATTCGAAATTCATGTTGTGGGTGTAAAAAGAGTGTGAAAACGTACCTAATTCTCTGTCTTCCAAAACCTTGGAGACGAGTTTGTTGGAGATGTCTTTTTGGGGAGGCTTATGGCGTAGACGCAACAATTCACGAGCAGTGTAGACAATGTGTCTCATCTTGGAAGGGTCCAAGTAAAAAGATAGCAACCAGCTGCGATGGAAGAATCCAGTTAGCGAAATTCCATATACAACTGCGAGAAGCCAATGCCAAATCTCCCTGCATCAAAATGGAGAGAGCTTTTTTACGAGAATGAGGAACAAGCAAGTCACGATATTGCAGTTGGATAAAAAGGTTGAACCGATGAAGATGACAAGCCAGGGGCGATCCACCAAGTGCAGTAGTAGCTGGGAGACTTTCCAGTGTGCTGGATACTGGAGCAGCCCACAAAGCAATGCTCTCCCGCCAGTGCACACGGACCGGCAGCGAGAAGGTCTGCATAGGGGAAGAAAAAGGAGGAAGCTCTGACTTACTTGATATGTACTGACAGCTAAAAAGCAAACAGTAGATGATACAAACAGAACAGTGCCCTTTGTTACTAGGCGTCCAACTTGAATGACAATGTCTTGATGTGAATGCCAGGTAGTGAACGTTTTCTGACAAAGACTGACAATGAGAGCAACAGCGTGTGGTAGTGAGCGGAGCCAAGAGTTGAATACTCGATGGAGTGAACGAGGATGATGAAAGTGACAGGTTGGTGGAGCGAATCTTTGGAAGATCAGGATTTAAGTCTTGGTACCTAGGCAGGTTGAGGTGATGAGAGAGGTGGGAGAAGTAAGGTCACTGGCTTTTGGAAGGTGCTCCTTCCACCCTCCGAGGAGAGGAGCGCCGTGGCAGTTGAGTGTACGGAAGCCGCGATCTACTTCGCGGTGTTATTTCAGTGAGTGTTATCTATTCGCAAAGAAATGTTAGAGTATTAAAAGGAAAGAAAAGTGCGGAGGGAAGAGAAGAGAAGGAAAGGAGCCGACGGGCACGCCTGACGTTCGAGTGAATGCGAAGGCAAGACGCGGTAGATATTCCACAAATGGGGATGATGGAGAGTGAGAGATGGAAGAGAAGGAAGAGAACAAGGGCATTAAGCTATTCGGAAAAGGAAATACATCAAGGGAATACTCACATCGAGGGCGGTGATGTTGTTGAAGATGAGATGTGCTGAGAGATGGAAGGGGAGAGCGGGGAGGAAGGAAATGGCCAAGGGCAGAGGTGGAGATGAGAAGAGACCCAGTGAATTGCAACGCACAGCAGAAAATTAAAACCTCTTTGATGGTCTCTGAGAACGCTTTGCTCAGTACCAGGAGATGATATCCCTGGGGAAGAAATGGTGCATACTGTGAAGAACTCGAGGTAATTACAGGAGGGACTGCAGGGGGGGAGGCACCCACATACTGCAGATACTGCAATCAGTGACTCGATGTCACATTAAGCTGGTTGCGATGATGGATAAAGGACTGGTTGCTTTTATTGTAGCAATGTGTTCCTCTCGATACAATGCAATACATAAATAAGTCAGGGGGCACTAGCGTTTGCACGAGATGTCCTTCACCCGCTCCCTAGCCTGCAAACACTGAAGAGATCTCCATGTGTGAAGACATACTATTGTTGTAAATGCGAACCAGTGATATGGACAAGAGATGGAAGTCATGATTTAGGCATATCTGCTGAAACTTGGCCAGTAGTGCATGCCCTGTGATACGCCTGGACTCAAGTGTAGTGCAAAGTGGAGACCTCCCGGTCTGTCTGCACGATGGGCTTCTGCAACCAGGACCATAACAGTTCTAGACTCACGGTCCCTAGTCCAAGCATGCGTTTCCTGGGAGCTGTGAATAGCTTCGTCCTGCAGAACTCTTGTTGTTATCAGGGAGTCCCTCTCGCCCATCCTGACAGATAAAGTTGAGACAAAAGTAGTGATAAAGGATGTGTACATTTCAATTACCGCGAAGAAACTTCTTTGAGAGAGGCTTCTTCGAACCACATCGACAGAATATTGGAATATTGGTGTCGCTCTTCTTCATCCTCTCTTACATGGGACCACAGGTGGTGGGTACTGTAGGTTGTAGGGCAGCCGCAGAAGAGTTCACACACCGAAGAGAAAACCCTCTCCAACGAGTTGATGGAAAGACACTTAACAATTTCCGCTCAGACTTCTAGTTTTCTCGAATCGTGTGTGATATATTCGTTTTGAAGCGGCACTATGTGATATTTTGCAAGGGGGAGATGAGTGTGTGTTGAAGTGAGGGGTAACTTGGAAGCGTTTGTCGTAATAATGTAATTTGAAGAAACAATAGAAATATAGATACGAAAATAAGGAAAGCACAGTGTTTGACCTGTTGATATAATGTTTTGTTCTGAATATTAATGCACTGAGAATAACATGAGTCGTGAGAATACGATTATCCTTGCCCCCTTACCTGGAGCCTCATTGGGGCTGGTGGAGACCATGTCGCTTGGAGACTAGACGTTCAATGCTAGGGAATTGCAAACATGGATTCACTAGATAACGACCTAGCTTCACCATCTCTTGAATGAGATTCTGTCTACGTTTGTTGAGCCGTTGATGCCTATGAACTTGGTGTTTGCCCTTGTTCCTTCAATAAGTTACTCGGCCGACGCAGCACTTCAAGGTACCCAAGATATGAAGCCTCGATTGCGTTCTTTTCCCGATCGAACATGCACCACTACCGTTTACGGTTTTATTGCTTACATGCCTCCATAACAGAGACTGTCGTTCACACCTCATGGGAAGATGAGATGAGGTGTACCTCGGCTTAAGGGATGGAGATGCCGGCCCACCACTTCGGCCCGCCTTAGCCATGACCACGGCTCATGAGACCCCCGTGCAATGGGATGTCAGCTGTCATGCCGAGCTGTAGAGAGATAGTCCACAGGAAATATTCCTTTGCTGTTTGTCTCTGAATAGGGTGTCCAAGACTAAGGTATCGACACCTATCGATATAGGCTCAATTACCTACTATACATCCCTCATGATAAGCATATTTTATCCTATTAGCTATCATGAGCTGTTGTGTTACCCCTCCATCTTGTGATTGCCAGCCAATGTACCCCTCCACACCAATATCTCACCGTCGCAAAGTAGCTTCAACCCCACGGTCCAGGAACAGCCAATCCACTGGGTCCAGATTCATTCCTCTCCGTGTCACATAATGCAGTGACGTGACATATCCATTGCTGATAGGTCACCCCTGGCCAAGGTCTCATGATACAGACTATCTCATGCCATCTTGACAGCACCTGCGGATAATAACTTGCCGCATTATATCTCAGTTACAGCTATAGCTCTGTAGGCCAAAGAATGAAACAAGACACTGCCGTTACTCCGGATCTTGGTCCTCCTCGGCCCCATCACTTTACCCCGCCACTACCAAGACACATGCGTAGAATATCGAGAGGCCAACCGACTTGACGTAGGTATGGGTACCTTAGCCTCGGGGGGCAAGAAAACAGCGAACCTTACTGACGGGTGTCAAAATAAAGTGGGCAAAAGTCATCCTAAACGTAGGCTATAATACCTAAGTTCTTTTGTCTTTTAGGATTGAGGTCCTGTGTTTTCTTTCCTCCCCTAGCTTAGCTAGTACTTGAGTAAGGTAGCTATGTCTTTGCGGGGCAGGTCAAACAGGGGCTAGGCATTCGGTGCTGCGGAGGCTCCAAGCTAAACAATTCGCCAGCATGAGCTACTGTACGTATGCTGGCGTACTAGCTGTGAGCAGTTTACTGAGAAACTACATAAGAATGCTTGTATTTCCTTGTGCTCTCGTTCTCGTTTGTACCTTTGTATTCGATTGATCCAAGTTCATTCAGAAGCTACTAACCTACTGCCTATAGCTCCACTTAGACCGAGGTCTCACCAACGCTGCGTCTCCAGAACATCATCCGCCAACATCATATAACTTCTATTGTGAGTCCTCTCAAAAATATCCCTCAAGTCTCATTCTAACTTACACATTCAGATACCGAACTCATACTCAAGTCTCACCCGCTACCAAACCACCAACAATGGCTCCTCTCACTCCCCATTGGCACCAGCCTTCTCACCCCGACATCCAAGAAGTCGTCATCGTGAACCCCGAGGAATTCACCACCAAGAGCATCTCGCGCGTTTCTCTCCCACCATTTGCAGTTTTCGCAAAGTTCGACTTCCCCCCCTGCACGCCCGCCAGCGAACCGACTTACGCTACCGTTCAGACCGGCCGCGACACTCATCTCAACTTGAACAGTGACTTGCTGTACATTAACCATTCTTGCGAACCTACTCTCGTTAGTTGACCTACTTGAAGGAGAAGCCCCAGATGTTGAAAAGCCCCCATCCTTTCGAAAGCGATAACTTGGGTTAACGCAAGGGTATAGCTCTTTGATGTAGGAAACTTGAACATTCTCGTTGGACCCAAGGGTCTCAAGGTTGGCGATGAGCTCACAGTTCGTTACTCTCATCCCTCAAATCTCATTTCCAATGGCTCACAAGACGTCTAGTTCTTCTATCCCTCCACCGAATGGCATATGGCCCAGCCCTTCGACTGCCTCTGTGGCAACCCCTCTTGCCGCGGCCGAATCTCTGGTGCTCGCGACATGACCCAAGCCCAGCTCGACGGTATTTGGCTCAACGGTCACATCATCCAGCTCCGCGCCGAGCAGCTCGCCCGCTCACAGGATCCCACTGCAACCGCCCTCCGCGACGCCGTCGTCCACGCTGAGAAGGTCCTTGAATCGGCTCGTCTTGCTCTTCGTTCTTACACGAGCAACGCGCAGGCTCAAAACGGAAATGGCACTTATCCTTCCAAGTACACCAATGGAACTCTGGGAAAGGCAGCTGCGCTGGAGCATCGCGGCCCGACCTCTCGTGAGCTGAGCGGTGAGATGGGTGGTGATACTGTCCGCGTTTAGAGGCCAGGGCCTTCGATGGCGGCAACTGAAAGATGTTGCTGCTGTTGAAGAACCCATCGATATCAAATAAGTATGCAGTTAGTTCACAGACACATTCGTTTTATGATTGACGTGCTGAGTCCCATTTCGCGGCGGTTGGTGAAAGCTTCGTTATTGAATTCATGAGTGACTCTCCTAATCTGCCGAAGTCTCTGGTCATCTCTACTTCAGTCAAATGACTAGCCCCTTACTCAGCATCCCGTCAAGGCACCACTGATCAATTGTCATTACCATAATCCCATTATAAATACGCCCAGAACGCCCGAGTCCATTCGCCGCAAACCAAATTGTCGAGGAGTTCTGTAGTGTCGCATCACGCAGATGGTCAATCCTTACTCTCGCTCTTTCGAATCCTTCCAACGACTCCAAGCATTACGACCCTTCTCAGAGCCAGTACCGCCGCTATACTTGGATTCTTCTTTCTCCCACTCGATCCGTTCCATGCTGCGACGTGCGAGGAAAGCGCGCGCGAACTTCCAGGCTTCTGTGTCTGCCAAGTTCCAAGCCTCAAGCGATGCTCGTAGTCGAGTGTCAACGGTCGATTTCTTGAGCGCAACAATCTTCTTGGCACGGTCCAGGAGGGACTTTTCTTTGGCCTGCATTTCCTTCGGCGTGAGTTCTTTCTCCTTTGGCGTATCCTCTGGTCGAGGCTGAGGCTTTTCAGGCCTTGTGTCGACATCAGCCTTTAGGGCACGCTCCGCCTTTGCCGGTTTATCAGCCTTGGTCTTTCCTAGCATGGGTCCTTGCTCGACTTTGCCATTCATAGCCATATATGTCTCTCCTAAACCCTTGGGAATACGGAATCCAAAGTACCACTCCAGATCTGGGGGAATATCAGCTTCAGCCGACAACCACAGTGCATGAGTTGGGGCATGTTCATCGCCCACAGCCTGTTTGAAGTGCATGATTCGGGAATTGCTGGAGACCTTTGAGCCCAAAAGCACTTTTGTGATAGTCTCAAGCCAAGGGTCTCGAGGTGCCTCCTTACGGATCCAACTAACGTCCACCCTCTCCTTGAGGCTTGTCAAAGTCGCAAGGGTCCAAGGATGAGGAACTGTCCCAATTGCAAACGCACCACTCGTATTCTGATATTGCTCAGGGGTAGTGACCTTCATAGATGTGGTGCCAGCGGCACAGTGTGCGCAGCTTGTAACGCCAGGAGGGCATGATGACGGGATGGGGTTGTCTGGGCAGAAGGCTAGGGAGTCGGCAAGCTTCAAGGCCGGGGTGACCATCTCAGTAGTGTGCTCAGGAAATGGCTTGAGGACCTCAATGCCCTCGGGGAAACTACTCTGCCATGCAGCGTGAAGATGGGCGTTAATAAGCCGATTGAGAGCTCCTAACCCTCTTGCCCTTCCATTAGCGATGCTGTCATGGACCTTTGGGTATTGCTTTTTGATGATTTCAGGGCTATAATGTACCAGTGCAGTTTGTGCTTTGTCGACCTTGAAGTCGTTCTTTGTTGATGCATCAATAACACTTTTAGCAGCTTTCAGTGTGGGCGAGTCCATCACTTTCCGGATAGTCTTTGTGACCTCTTCCTTGGGACCTACGAAGAGTGCACTTTCGAGACCTTTCCACCTGGTCATGGCAGGATATTCTCCTCTTCGGAGGAAAACCAAGAGAGGATCCTCAGTGTGTGCAATTGGAAGCAGTGTATAATCCACCAACATGCCAGTGCCCATTGATTGCCAGGCGAGCCATCTCATGAGGTCGGCTTTTAGTTCGGGCTGAACCTCAAGCCGTTGAAGTTCCTGATACATCGGATTTCCAGTCGCTTCGGAGGATCCCAAAATGGTTGGTCGGAAACCTTGAGCCCACCAAGCGCGACGCCACGTTAGAAGAAGATCACTGTCAGCATCTTTTTCTTCCCTCGATTTCTTAACCGTTGCATCGTAGTAGCAATAAATGAATGGGCGATCCTGGAGCGGGGGAAGCAGTGCTCTGTCCTCATCAAGGGTGAGGGAGCTGGAGAACGGCACAGACAACCACTTCCAATCAGCCCACCAAGAAGTACCTTGGTATGAATCTTGTGCTCGAGTCGGTGGTGGATGGGCAGGACCACGAAACGGATTCAGCTCTGTCACGCCCTTCTTGAGCGAGTGGCGGATGCCATCGACAGAAGTCTTGATCTTGCTAGAAGCGTCTGCTTTTGCGGCATCTTCGGCAACATCGGTTTGGGCGGCATTTGGGGACAGTAGGGTCAGGGTTGAGTAGGCGAAGACAATGAGAACGAGAATGAGATAGGTCAAGCGACGAGACACGAAGCGGCGTTGTCTGCCGTAAAAGATGTTTATCGCCATTGGGCCAATTGGACAATGAGGCAGTCGGTTATCACGGATGAATCTGGTAGGATGCGTTTCCTGTTGATGTACGATAAAACGAAGGGCAGAGACGAACTTGAATTGGTCGAGACACGCCAATTCTCACAGTCAAAGAAGCATTTCGATGGTATTATAGGAAGCGAAAGGACACAACATGCACATGTGACTGTGTAAAGGATGAAGTAGAGTAGAGTAGAGTAGAGTTATTTGTTTGTCGCAAAAAGAGGGAGGGGAAAGGACAGTCAAATACGAGAATTGCTGACAGAGGCAGCAGCCCATCCCGGATAGTACTGAGGTGTGATCGCTTTGTGGCAGGGGTTGGCAAGGGTCCATGGGTAGGTGAGACGAGCGAGAGTCACGCAATAAGACATGGTAAAGTCTCATCAATAGTACCGATGGATTAGCGAAGGCGTCAAGACTTGATTGCATGTGCTCATGCTTGTTCGTGTTGCAAAGAAGTAAAGGGTTAGAATGCTCGGGGTTTTATTCCATCAGTATTTCTTCGCCAGACTAGCCGTATCCACTCAAGCTCCAGGTGACGACCCTGGTAGGTGGCTTACATGAGTTTGGTGACCTTGTCTCCAAGTGAATGGTGATATAATCTTGAACAAACAGGTACACAAATCTATAAAATATATCGATATAGATCGATTGGAAATCACCTCCCAGGTCCCAGGCCACTGTTGTTAGACCGCCATGGACTCGGTTGAGGAACAGAGCACTACCTAACCTGTAGGAGGAGATATTTCTTCTCATTCAAGAGTAATCAAGCTGGAGTGGGTTCTAACTTAGTAGTCGGATCCACCGAAACTTTAGCTCCCCAACTCTCCAAATCTTCAGTAAGTCAAGGATCAGAAAGGCAAACATCAAGTATACATGCCAATAAAAATTAAAGGGCAGTTATTCCAGGCTTGTATCCATCGCATTCATATAAATTCACACAGACTGTATGATATCATCACAGGCCCCAAGCTAGCTATGGGCCTTGGAGAGCTGTATCTTGTCTGCCAACATAGTTCAAAGCCATTGCCATAAATGTCCACTGGTCTAGACGTCATTGGTAGGGCTGAGCAGGGGGGGATTCTTAGCTGCCTGTCTAAACTAACTAGACCCAGGTCCATATAATTGATGGACGGATATTAATACCATCCTCAATGCCAAACGATGTGAGGATTCGTGGAGTTGAAGACGGGAATAAAATCAAGTGAATTTATCCATCAAACGCTCTCATGATGATGCGGCCAATGCAATCCTTTGAGCAGCAAAATGGCCTTTCTCTCATTGGCCCTATCACTTTAAAGTCTTTGAATGACTAAGGTGGCAGTGACAGTGGCAGGCAGCAACAGCCCTAAGGTACTACCACCCGACTTCTGCTTCTCTTTCACGCTCTCGAGTGCAGGTCGGTACTTGCGTGACACAGACTTTGAATCACAGTCGACTATGACTGGAGCATTAAATAAACAAACTTTGCCAGAGCCTGCCAGATTTCGGCAAAAGGTCATCTTTTCTATCCCCCGAAATTTCTGAATCTTCTCCCTTTTTCTTCCCTTCTTGCCTTCTGCCCCCCTTCAACAACAAGAGAGAGGGTCCATGGGTCTCAAGCAATTCAACCTCGACCTCCGGGTCGCGATAGAAGCTCTTGATAGCTTCCCTAATGTATCAAATCTGCGCAAGGGCGATTCCGATGGAGAGATCGCTTTCACTTATACGCCCGCAGCAGAGCACGAAGCCCAACTTCCCCCCATCGATGTCCAAGCCCTATCGAAGGATGCAGACTCGTACCCAAATCACCCGGGATTTATGATCTTCACTTCCTCAGAAACACCAAAAGACCTAGAGAAGTGGCTGGAAGAGACCTCCAGCTTGACCGATGGCATTACTATCGCTGATGCCATCAAGTTGATTTGCAGCATGTTAGCTACAAAATTGAGCACTTCCAATCAGTCAATTTCACAGGCACCGCCCTATTACGGCGAAGAATCAGATGTTGATCTACTCTCGGATGACGATGACTCCTTCTATGAAGCCGAGTTCGATGAGATAGATATCGACCCATTACTACCTGGCGCATCTGCCTCGGAAAACGCCACTGAAGCCGATGATCCAGAATCAATGATACGCCTGAAGCGTCACTTGCGAGAAGCTAAACAAGAGGGGTTCTGCATCTCCATCCCCCCTGAAGAAATACGCCAGTCGTCTTTCGGTATCTTCTCGCTCTCTGTTCGAGTATGCAAACTTGGAATCCCTGAAGAAGCCCTGGAAGCTTGGGGTATTGAGCCGACAGAATACATTGTCATGCTTTGCAAACTACCATCCACTTATCCTCATGTATTAGACTTCCAGCGTCTTCCTCCCGACCAAACCCGAATGAACTTCAAACTTGGTAAATGCAGCAGTCCGCGGCCAAATTATAAATCCATGAGGCATATGTTTGCAGGAGCGGAAGAGCCAGTAATGCTAACAGACAAAGACGAAGAGAGCACGGACTCCTTCATTCCGCTCTATATGTCGCTGTCTCTTGACGCACTTCTCAACCGTTTCTTTCCAACCCTTTTACGGCTGCGACGATCAGAAGGAATATCGTGGGATGAAGCACGAGAGCTGGAATACAATTTGAGCTTAGGTCACCATTCTAGAGACATGGTCGATCACGCTCAAGACGTGATTGTCTGTCAGGACCGAGAGTCATCTGACGAGTCGTTCGAGCCTGAGTTTCTTCGGCATGATTACCTGTCGAGCAATGCAGACGAGCTCAACATCGTTCTTATTGCTATGCAATTCGGCCTCCAGAGGTTGATCAAATGCACCAAGTACTGTCTGGTTTGCCATCGAAGAGCAAAAGGAGGGTTTGAGGCCGTAAAACCTTTCGTTTGTGAGACTGAGCTTTGCCTCTACCAGTATTTGTCCCTGGGTTTCGGCCAGAGCATCGAACACGAGATTATCAACAATCCATACGTGGTCGACCTTCTTGTGAGCTTCTTCTATGCTGCCGTCATCCGCTCCCGTCTCCGCGAGTTTCCCCGAGGACTAGGTCTCAAGTGTCCCTCGTCAGCGTTCACAGCGAGTGCTTCTACCCCGGTCAGCGCTGATGCTTACTTCAACACTGGTCTGTTGAGGTTTGAATCCAAAGACCTTCACGCCTGTAGAACTATCAAAGCGGGCCATTGGCTGATGCTTTTCATCCCTGGTGCTAACACTCTGGATTCGCAGACACCAGTCATGAGAACATGTAAGTGAAACCTAAAGCATGCAAAACCATGTCAAGTATCGGCTTTGACAAGAAGACTAATAAGGTATTCAGATCGCGAGAAACATATCTGCTATATCGAATCGTGCATCGATACCGACTATTGGTTCAAGGTCATGCATACGTTCACGAGTCTCGACAACATTGGACAGGAAACCCCAGAGAACTCTGTGAATCAGGTTACTCAACCTACCACAGATGGTGTAAAAGTATTAATTTACAAGTATGGTCAAGATATAGATGAACTCGAAGATGCGGTTCGTGATCAAGCACTCTGCTTCATGACCAGTTGCATCCCACCTGTGCAAACAATGAGAGAATACCTCATAGAGGTACCCGGGCGCCGGCTATCCTCCTGGAAACAAATTGAAGGATCAGCACTACGTCTACTGAACTGGATCGTTTCCTCAAATAGGTCACATATTGTACAGGATAGCCCAGACCCTGGGGCATCTGCAGCAGAGGAACAAACACAGAACAGTAGCCTTGTCCGCAGCGCGGACTACCGGTGGATGCAGTTTCGCTTTGCCCAGGGTTCTCCTGAAAAGGAACACATTTTCTTCAATGAGCTGCAGAAAATACCGAGATCTCGAACCGGTAGAACCTACCAAACACTCTTCGCATGGCATGGAAGCCCTCTTTCCAACTGGCATAGTATCATTCGAACCGGCCTTGACTTTTCGAACACGCTTCATGGGCGTGCCTATGGCAACGGCGTTTATTTGGCAAGAGATTTCGAGACTAGTCGCGCATATTCCAACCGCGATACGATGAAAGCGTGGCCAGGCTCAGCATTGAAGGTCACGAGTGCTATCAGCATGTGTGAGATCGTCAATAGTCCATCTCAATTTGTGTCAACGAATCCATTTTTCGTCGTCAACAGGATCGATTGGATACAATGCCGCTATCTCTTTGTTCAAATCCAAATACGGCAACCAGAATCCTCTGTCTCCCTATCCAATGAAGGGCTGTTTCCTGATAGGGTGCAGGGCGAGGACTATATCGAACAAGACCCTGCCTATCAATTAACCCATGGACTGCAGCAACGAGTTAATATCCCTCTGTCAGCCATACCAAAATTTCGCCGACGTGCATTCGGACAAGGACAGCAAAATGGCACGGGTTCGTCCATAGACCATCCTATCGTTCTTGATGATTCGGATTCAAACGGAAGTCCTAATCTCAACGATTCAAGCTCTTTGGAAAGCCCAGAGATGAGTGACGATATCGATGTTCTACTAGCATCGGACGACGAAGGTGATGACCTTCAGTTGATAGGAACACGAAAAAGACGGCGGACATCTACAGACTCGGGTCTCGGTGAAACGCAACGGGGACCTGACGATGTAACACCTTTTCAACCAGGTGATCTTGACATTGATTCTCTTCCTAAGCTCGCTGAGCCTACGTGGGCATCATCGTCACCAGCTGCTCTACGCGCACTCAACGGTCAGATCAAAGACCTACAAAAGACCCAGTCCAAGACCAACTTGGCCACGCTGGGATGGTACATAGACTTTGACAAGCTGGACAACCTCTTCCATTGGTTCGTCGAGCTTCACAGTTTCGACAGGGACTTACCACTTGCCAAAGACATGGCCAGCCATGGATGCTCGAGCATCGTGCTCGAGCTTCGATTTGGTGCTTCTTTTCCAATTTCGCCTCCTTTTGTTCGTGTGATACGACCTCGCTTTCTACCTTTTGCTCAAGGAGGTGGAGGTCATGTTACTATTGGCGGCGCTATATGTTCAGAGCTGCTCACAAACTCAGGCTGGTCCCCGGCTCTTTCATTGGAAAAGGTTTTCCTTGAAGTCAGATTGAATCTCTGCGAAAGGGACCCTCCAGCTCGTCTCGAAAGAGTCCATCATATAAGTCTGGGGAAGATGGACTACAGTATGTTTGAGGCCGTGGATGCGTATCGACGAGCGGCCGCAGCCCATGGGTGGCAGATTCCTTCCGATCTTCAGATGTTGCAATCCATGAGTAACGTTTCCGAGACGTAGTGGAATCAACAAATTGGGGACCCTTTCCTGACAGATATAGAGAATGTGTGCCCGTCTTGTCACGAATTACGAGTTATGAGTACTCTTGTTTTTCCCAACGGGGGAGTTGGCTGAGAATCAGACCCAGGACACCCAATAAGTAGATTGTAGGTAATAATTAAAGCCATTCTGCTATGATGTTTCTCTTCACAACTATATCCGCTCGCTTGACAGGTGATAGAACTATCCAGTTTTCGTCTGACGATCGACATTCCGGAACAGCATGTAGTGACATGTTTTAACATTTTTATATATATTTATTTCTTGATCTTTTTGACAGCATCGCCATTTGCAAGGCTAACTGAACCGCCGACCTAGTCTCCCGTCACAGCACAGCAACTAGGCCAGCACCTGTCTACTTTTTGGTTGATCCAAATGTCTACGTTTTGATTTTACTTCTATGCATTTGCAGGACTGGGATGAGAGAACCGAATCTCCGAGAAATGTCCTTTGGTTTATATCTCCAAACATACCACTCTTTTTCCAACCTCGAAAGGTAAGAAATACAGGTAGTACCCCAAGACAGATGTTTAGGAAAGATTGTGTAGAGCAAAGAGAAGAATTAGGTCCCAGGAAAGGAGAACACGATAGTCCAGGCTAAGGAATAGGTGAAATTGTGCAGCATAGCAGAAAGCAAGTAAACCCGTGCCCCAACCCGCGCTGCAGTCGTTCAACCAAATCCCTCCCTCCCATAATCTTCGTCGCACACTGTCGTGTGCTGGTCCAAGTACCTGATCGATGTTGTTTGATGAGTGTAAATGGGAATTTTTTAGAGAGAAAAAAAGAATGCCAGCAAACCAAATCTGGCGGACGGCGAATGCAGTATGATGCAGAAGCTCCCCGGTAAACTCCAAAACGAAAATATCCCATATCATTTCAGCGCGCCGCAACTCGGGATAGACTTTGCGACATCCGTGGCAGAGGGATATTGCCCGTGAAAACACGGGTATCCAGTAATCTCGGCGTGGTGTTATTCATGGGGCAACGAGCCCTCATATGATTTGAGTAGATGAAATCCTGTTGACAAACCGTAAGTGCGCTTCCAGCAACTCTAGTTGTGCTGGAAAAGGACGCTGATAGACTCGCCGTGATGAACACGACGGATGGCCTCAGCAAAAACGGCCGAGATATCGAGTATCTCAAGCTTGGGGCAGAGACGACGATGCTCGTTTTGAGGAACAGAGTTGGTAACGAGCATCTTGTCAATGGCAGAAGCATTGATACGAGCGATAGCGTCACCACTGAAGACACCGTGGGTGACGAGGGCATAGACTTGAGTAGCGCCCTCCTTCTTCAGAAGCTTCGCAGCACGCGTGATGGTGTTACCAGTATCGACAATGTCGTCAACTAGGATGCAGATGCGGTTTGACACATCTCCAACTAGCATCATACTGGCGTTGCGATGCTCGGTAAATCGAATGGGCCGTCGCTCCTTTGTAGCAAGACATGAGTTTTCAAAAGCAGCAAAATCAGAATTCTGTGGTATTACCTTGTGAATCAGAGCAAAGTCAGTCTTGAGACTGTCCGCAATCAAAGTAGCTCGCTTTGCACCTCCAGCATCAGGAGACACAATGACAGCGGTGTGGTGGTTAGGAATTTGAGATTGGATGTAGTTCTGGAGTAGCGCCTTTCCGTACAGGTTATCGACAGGAATGTCGAAGAAGCCCTGATACTGAGGATCGTGCAAGTCCATCGTGATAATATGATCGGCACCGGCGCAGGTGAGCAAGTCGGCAACGAGAGTACCAGCCTGAGCGATCCACTGCTTGTAGCCAGGCTTAGGCTGGAAAGCAGAGATGTTGGACTGGTTCTCATAGTCGTGGGTGGTGTAGGCATTTCTCTGGGAAGAGGTCGAGTTCTCTGCATGGTGTCCACGGGCCTCAGAGGTGCTGCTCGAGATGGTGTCTGAGCGGCGAGGAGTGTTGAAGACGCCGTTAGTGCCGTTAGCACCATTTGTCGCGCCCTCGTTTGCGAGAGCTGTTTTCGAGAGCTTCTCGGTCAGGTTGTTGACACCATTGGGCAGGCCAGCTGACTTGGGGCCACCTGGACGAGGCGTGGGAGGAACACTCTCAAATGTGTAGTCTTTGGAGGAACCAGAGATCTGCGACAAAGGTGCGCCGGCTTTGTTATAGGGCCAGTCGGGTTGTCGTGAATAAGGGAAGAGTGGGACAACGGCGGTGACTCGTTTCGCAGAGCCAGTCTTGCAGGCTGAGATCATGATACAGAGATCGATGAGGTTGTCGTTGACGTTGCCGGAGCCAGATTGTATGATGTAGACATCTTTGCCGCGAACTGAGTCCTTGATTTCGCAGCGACTCTCGCCGCCAGAGAATTTTCCAAGAATGCGATTGCTTGCCGGAACACCCAGAATTTGGCAGACATTTTCTGTGAGTTGCGGGTGGGAGTTGCCTCCCAGAACAACAATATTGCGCACCATGGTGAAGGTGAAGTTGTGTCGGTTTGTGGTAGAGGTGAAGGTTGCTGTCGGCGAGAAGAGCAAAAAGTTTTGATGCGGCGAAGGACGGAAGCGGAAAACGGATGTGGAGGGGCCCCGAATCGGAGGGGTGTGACTACGTAGTTTTTTTTTTTCTCTTTCTCTGAGGGGAAACCGAGACTGAGTCAAGAGCTTCTAGCGGTGGAATGAAGTTTCGACAGCGGTTGATGAGACAAGGCAGAGATGGAGAAGACCCGAGACAATCCGAAACAGGCCGGAGTAAGACTGAAGCCAGTCGAGATCGAAATCGAGGCTGGATAGAAAGGTTGCAAGTTCAAACTGTGTTGAGGTCCTATTGTGAATTTTTTTAAACTCGGCCTTTGTCAATGGCAGCCCCGGCTTCTAAGGTAGTTGGGTTGGAGCGCAGCAACGGCAGTGTGTAGGGTGGGGAGCCTGTGGATTTAGCGGAGGTGTGATTGGAAATAGGTCGTTCAAGTGTCGAACTATGCTGCAAGAGTTGAGAGTTGGCTAGCTTGGCCTGGCCTGGCCTGGCAAGCAAGCAAGCAAGCAGTGTCCGGGGCGGCACGGCAAGGTAATGCAATGTGAAGCCGTGAACGCTGTAGCCGATGCCTATTATTGACGGAATTGGGGAATCTGGATGGCTGCGGCCAGATAAAGCGTTTTGGCGGACCAGCAGGGATTCAGGGCCAAACCGACGTCACTGTGCTGTCCTGTGCTGTGCTGTGCTGAAGCAGGCGGCTCAGGCTCAGTGTAGAGTGCTCAGTGCTCAGAAGCTGGATGACAGGACAGGGATCTCCAAGTAAACAGACGGTCTGCCGGTGTCGGAGGCAGTATAATTTTTCTAACAGACGGTATTCACTACAAGGGCGCTCGACAATAAAGGTAGCTGGTGTTTATCTCCAAGGACAAGATGTTGACGAAGGGGGACTCCCAGAAGAACAAAAGCCAAGCGATAATCGACGAAATAATAGTCGAGGATGGCGCGCAATGGTCGTAACGACGGCGGGCAGTCCCCGGGTGGAGGAGTGGAGATGATGGGGAGAGTGGAAGATCACAGACCCATGATGTGAGAAGTTGAATGCTTTTGTAGGTGAAGTAGTGAGTACCTAGATATAACTTTTGTGGAAGAGAGTGAAGTTGGAATGGCTGAGTTTATGCCAAATCAGAAAGTATTGGTTGAGCTCATTATCAAAGTTGGGCTTGTAAATGGATGAATTAGGTAGGTAGGTTAGAGAGCCTGTACTGTACATGAGGTGATCGGGGAACCCTCCAGCAACCAAAAACAGATGATGACATGGCGGCACCCGCCAAGTTGACATTTCCACAGGGGGGACTCACTAAAGCAGTAAAGGCACAAATGACGGCGTCTTGGTACTTCTCAATCTGGAAATATCTGATACTTTGCGATATCTCATTCTTTTCTTACAATATGGATTATACTAAGTTCTTATCCTTGACATATTGTATAAGGAATTATTTCTTTCCAATACATGTCATGATAATTCTGGTAACTTTCAACCCGAAAAGTCAGAGAGGTATCTGTACATGGGTGACTGGTACCCACCCCCGCCGATTGTCATGTATCCAGGGTACGTGCTCTAGAGTCAGGGTATCTGGAACTCCTCCGTTTTGCCATTTAAGAACCTCGGTGGGCATGGATATATGAGAGATAAAAATAAAAGTATTTCCAAACAGGGATACCTGCTGCATACCGCCATTCCGACCGGAGCATCCCGTTCTCTTGTTCTTGATATCAAGTTTTATTTATATTCATATTGCAGGTGTAGAGGAAAACTCGGCCCTCCCGCAGAACAACTTTCTCCGTAACGCCGTGAAATAAGGCGCCAATAAACTCTTTTGCTTGAAACTGTATAACATTGGATGTTCAGCCTGGCAGGGGTTGTCAGTCATTTGATCTGTACCACCCAAATCTCAGAAGAACAACCCAACGACTGGAGTCAAGAACCACTACTGCTTGAGGTATCTGGCTGTTCTCCTATGTCCAAATTTCGCGCCGAGGTACCAATAAAAATAACCCTTGTCTCAGCCTGGGACCTATCGAGGCTTCTAGCTTCCTATTCTTCTGAAATGTCCGGCATCGGTCAACCTTTGTTCTGGAACAGTGGCTTGCATGCATGGCATGCCTTTCCAGTGGAGATGCACGCGACCTCCTTCTTCGAACATAGTGGCACGCAAAGAACTGAGACCGATAATTTGTCAATTCGACATATAGATTGTCCCATTATATGATGCCATTGAGCATCATATGACTCCTCATTGGATCCTGTACATGCATAGTGCATGGTACCGCTACCAGTAGATGGGCCAGATGTTCCTCAAGCTTAGCTGTTTCTCTCGCCATAATTGGAAACTCTTATTGGCTCAATGTAGAACAAGAATTCATTAGACGGAAAAAAGAAAAGAAAGGAAAAGCATAAAGTGATGCACTCTGACGTGTGCGTCCAAACCCTTCCCCAGCTTTGAGCCAGACTCACATGCAAACAACACACCGCGTTAAACTTCATGTACCATTATTAGCTTCACCCAATAAGAGCCCGCGTCAAAGTTCACACAAGGTAGCAGAAGCCAGTGTTAAAAAGAAGAAAAAATGGAAGCCTCCCTCCAGTGTCGCACAAGAATTACAGCACGTTCCAGGCCTGCATCCACTGGAACAATTCCGCTGAATCAGACCCCGTCAAATCTACTGATCCTCTGATTGGCCAGCACTGGATCTTGTTCTTTCGTGATACTGGAATCCACTATTTGATCTAGACCTTCATTCAATGCTTCGTATCAATCTCACAGCTCGTTGCGTCGCATGAGCTCACTCGCCACTCACCATGAAGATTCTTGAGGCACAATCGGCCGTTCTCACAAATTACGAGGTGTATCAGCACGTATCAGAGCAGCGCGAACGATACAAAAATGCCAAGCGTCGTGGTCCCCCAAATCTCGAGACTGTGGTTCGCGAGGTAAGATTTTTTCATTCAATATCAAATTTAATGCCCAGAAACACAACTGACACTCCTTACAGCTCCTCCAATATCTTCGCACAAACCCCGGTCCTCTAAGCCAGGAACCCCTTCCCTACACCGAGGGATGCATTTCCAGACTTCTAGAACGCTTACGGCCTTACAACCTTGCCAAGGGTGAAGTAGTCATGATCATCAACCTGCGCCCCGCCTCAGTCGCTGCTCTCAATACTGTTGTTGAGGAGATGTCTGAGCGATTCAACGAGGAGCAGCAGGAATCCATGGTCAATATCATCGCTGAAGTCCTCGGCCAGTTCCCCGCTGCGGAGGACGGTGCTGAAGAAGAGGGCGCTGATGTTTCTATGAACGACGCCACTGCCTGAGCTCTCAGCCCACCAATATAATAACTAATTATCAACTCATGTTCCCACTACTCGATCACAGTATCCGCGACCCTCAAATCTCATATTACTGCGCATGTGCTTGCGCTCTGGCTGTTTGTGCCCGTTGTTGGAGTCATAGCCGTCTTGCACAAATCTTCAAATGCCAGCTTCAACAATTCACCCGTCACCGCCGAACACTCAACATATCGATCAGCTCGTAGAGTCTGCGCAACCTGGTATCCTTCCTGCGGGTATATAATTCCGTTCGGATCTTGCTCCGACCGCAGATCACGCTTCAATCCAAGGATGATAAGGGGGAGGGTATCGATGCGTTGAAACGACCTCTTGATTTCATCTTTCCACTATCAAGTCTGAGTTGCATGCTCGACACCGTTCATGGAGAACTTACATATCTCTGCATATTTATCAAACTCAACCGTTGGCTGATGTCGTAACAAATGACAATGGCATCAGGGTCAAGGGTCCTCCAGTTATCAGGACATGATGTGTCGAAGAACTCGAACTGAACCTTTTTGGCTCCTGTCTGAATACCGAAGATGAACGGTTGATCCATATCACGGAGCATGGGAATCGGGTTGACTTTTTCACCTGCACTGAGTCGTCTAAGGATATAGTTTTAGTATGATACATCGAGGAATCGATAGAGGAATTTAGACTACATACGAGAGAAAGGTCGTCTTGCCGCACTTTTCATCGCCTACAAGGAGAATCTTGATCACCTCGGGGTCCATTTTGCATGTGAGATAGTCAAAGCCGTTGATATGCTTATATTCCAGTTTGATGTATGGAAAATGGACCAGCTCGACAAGAGCAGATATGGTGTCTATTAAATGAAGGCCAGAGATAGAGATGAGATGAGAGCTGTACGTAACTTATCAGTATACCCCCAACTGTGGCGTCCCGTCTAGCACAGCCACATTTTGAACCGCAGCAAAGCCCTTTTCCACTTGTAGACTCTGACTGGTCTGCATATAATCTCCCAAAATTGGAACCCACCAACTTCATGAGACCCTTTAGTCGCTGTCTTGGGCGTCAAACTTCGCTCGAAGGCATAGTCAGCCGAGCCAAAACTCGAAAGTCCTCGCAAAACAAACCTCAACCGAAAAAATCATCAAGTGGTGAATCTCCAAAACTTCCTCTGCAGCCCCAAGGTGCCAAGTACCTCGCCATGTCTGCAGAGTTGAATTATCAGTCATGGACCAAAAACGGTCTCATTCAGAAAGTCAAGGAACTCGAGGCTGAGCTCAGAAATCGGCCTGCTCCAGAGCCAAAACCTGAACCTGAGATTCAGCCTGAAAATGAAGCGGGAGATGCAGCCAAGAAGACGAAACCAAAGGGAAAGAGAAAGATGGATCCCAGCAAATACTCTACACGATTTATCGCCTTGAAACTTGCGTATCTGGGCAAGAATTACGGTGGCTTTGAGTTCCAAGCTATGGCCAACGCTCCGTCGATTGAGGAGGAACTATGGAATGCTCTCACAAAAGCATGCCTCATCTTTCCTGAAGATGAACGAATTGTCGATTTTGACTGCTGCGAGTATTCAAAATGTGGTCGCACAGATAAAGGAGTCAGCGCCTTCGGTCAAGTCATCGGCCTCCGAGTTCGAAGTAACAGACCCTTGCCTAAAAAGCAAAGGCGTCTAAGTGAAGCAGGCGAGGCAATGGTCGTTGACGAGCAAGTGGGAGAGAACGCAGAAGAAGAGCACGTGGAGGAGACTCCGTCTTTCGATGATATCAAGGATGAGCTTCAATATCCTCGGCTACTTAACCGTGTTCTACCCCCTGATATTCGCATCCTCGCCTGGTGCCCCTCTCCGCCCCCAGACTTCTCTGCTCGTTTCTCATGTCGCGAGCGCCAATACCGATATTTCTTTACACAGCCTGCTTTTACTCCTGAACCCAGCGCTGGTGGTGCAAGGAATGGCTGGCTCGACATTGAGGCGATGCGCGAGGCCGCTAAGCGCTATGAAGGCGAGCATGATTTCCGCAACTTTTGCAAGATCGACCCTGGAAAGCAGATCACAAACTTCGTTCGCACAATTTACGAGGCCGACATCCAAGAGGTCAAGGACGTTAGCTCAGCTTTGCCATATCTTTCTGGATCCACGTACGTCCCTGCAGGAGGCTTGCCCAACGACGGCACCGTGTACCCCAAGGTGTACTCGTTCAACGTTCGAGGGTCTGCTTTCTTGTGGCACCAGATTCGTCACATGGTTGCTGTACTCTTCCTTGCAGGTCAGAAGTTAGAGACACCTGACGTTGTGACGACTCTGCTCGACGTTAAAGCCAACCCCTGCAAGCCTAACTATGTCATGGCAGATGAAGTGCCTCTGGTGCTCTGGGACTGCATTTTCCCTGGTACAGATTCCGCTCCGGTAGACCCCGCGGCCAAGAAGACCGATGGACTTGACTGGGTGTATCTCGCAGATGACCCTGCGCTTAGCAAACCTGGCCCCTTTGGTGTCATGGATGGTATGTGGGCGTATTGGCGAGAGCGCAAGTTAGACGAGCTGCTCTCGAACCAATTGTTGCAAATGGTATCTACACAGCGCAGCAAAGATCCCTCAAGGCATGTCACTCGCCCTGAGCCCTCGGGCAAGCAGGCGAACAGTGTAGTTGTCTACGAGGGTGGTAACGGTGGCCGTATGGGTGGCCGGTACGTGCCATTGTTGCAAAAGGTCAAGCTGCAGTCTCCTGAAGAGCAGAATGAGAGATATGCTATAAGAAAGGGGTATACTAGCTCAGAAGATATGCGAAACCAGAAGGGCATTGGAAAGCGAAAAGCAGACGAGGCCATGGATGAGTAGGCATCGCACAATGCGTTTCAGGATAGGAATAAATAAAGAATTAAATCATATCATCGTACGCTGGGCACATCCATGAGCCTCTATAGGTATAATGCCTTTTAGCCCAGTGATTTATCCTCTCCTCTTTGCTCATACAAACACCGTCGAACGCCCCTCCAAACTTCTTCCACAATCTTTCGTGGTGGTAATAAGCCTGGAAATACAACCACCACATCATCCTCGCCTTCGACTATGACAATGAGGTAGTATCTCACCTCGAACCCAAGAAACGCTTCATTGACGAGAATGTCTTGGATCTTCTCGGTCGGTATGAACCTCGTCGCCGTACCTGCAAGATAACTCCCTGGACTTTCACTAGTCTGTACACCCAAGCCTCTTATAACGAGAATACTCTCACTGGCGTAGCCTCTTCGACTGGATAGCCATAGCACAACTATACTCACGGGAACGAGCACAGATAGCGGTATGTTTTGCGCAAGAGCAGCGGTCGAGGTTGGTGCACGGAGGTATGAAGCTGGTATGATCTTGAGGAGAGAGGGAGGGGCGTAGGCGAGAAAAGGGTGTAGAGTCAGGCGCGCGTGGAGAAGAAGAAGGGCGAAGATCGAGAGGATAATTCGGGAGATGAAGAGCAGTGTATGTAGAGCTGGTGGAATCGGCCGGAGAGTCGTGACAGTGAATTCGGCGGTTGTTGGAGAGGGATGTCGGATGAGAAGACGGGGCGATGTTGAGAGCATTGCGACAGGTTGGAGTATGTTCAATGGCCGATCGTGGCTGTAGAGAGTGTTTCAGAGGAATTGATGGCAGGGATTCCTCGGCGAAGTCGAACGAGCTCGTTGTTATTGAACCATGATTGTGTTGCGTAATTGTGATCGCAATGCGGTTGCAGTGGTGTTTGAGGGTAAATGGAAGCTGTTCGCTAGCGATCCACTGAAGCTACGGGTATCACCCACTGTAGCACCCCAGTACCGCCCCACCAGCCACATTCTGGGGTCAAGGGTATATAGCTTATGAATACTGACATGACTCTCGACTGTAATGGTCTAACGGTGAAGGCGTTCAAACCCGCTCAACCGCCCATCCCAATACTGTGGTGCTTCGGTGCCTCAGCCCTTCGCCGCGCCCCGCCCGAACGCTGCGGTGGTCGCCCACTCGTGCAGGTAACTCACGATGCTGGAACTTTGCGGCCCTAAGCACTGGAGATGACCCTTGAGGGAGGTTTCACTCTGCAGAGATCTCTCCCCCGTCGCGTGGCGGGTGGGAACACGTCAGTGCGGGGGGATTTGGGATGGCAAGTGGATGAGATGGAGCAGCCAACTGTCTTTTTTTTTTTTTTTTTTTTACATTTTTTAACAATTCACATCAATAAACAATACCGTTATAAAATATCAATTTTATCTCTCCTATAACTAGTCAATCATATATCAGCTTCTCGTACTTATGCGACATCAGGTTGAGGTGATTCGAACCCCAAAGTGTATCTTATGCCTAGCAGAGCAGACGTGAAGCTATCACCACTTCTTTGCTCTAAGAAATCTGCTTCCAGCACACATATACACATAATTAACATAATGACTATCGAGCGTAACCATAATGCAAAGCAGTTGTTCATTCAATTCGTAAGTACTAAGACCCTCCGGGGGAATCAAAATGCATTTCCAATCCATTCCTACCCATCTTTCACCCATTTCCATTTCCATTTCCCTTTTCCTCATCCCCTAACTCAAACAAGTGCCGCGAGGCAACATTGTATAAAGCAGTCGCTACGTTAACCCCCCATCACTTCACCCATTTTTCTCACCCATCAGCCTCCCTCTGCCTGGATCCTCCCGTTACCCAATATTTACTACCTCCAACATTCCGCCGATAAATATAACAAGATACAGTACGAGTACCGCGCCCATCCTCCTCAAACATAGTCTGTTGTAAGTAAATGTGGTCGTAGTTTGCAGAAACCTTCATGGTCCGACCAAAAGAAATGTAAAGTCGTATACGTTCATTGGCATCCTTGCCAATAATGCGAAAAGGGCCTTGAAAGATCCGAAAGTGATATCAAGAGTGAAGAGAGAAACAAGATGCAGTAGTTTCCAGTCGTCATACAGCTAGATCCTTGAAGAAAAGGACAGAAGTATAATGCCAAAATGCGAGCCCCGAAGGACCATGGTATCGACTCGGGAGGAGAGAGAACGCCGATCGCCATGCACAGAATCAAATACAAAGTTTATAGGGAGTGGTAGAAAGGAAGAAAATAATGCACAGCGCGCTGGCCACCATCGCGAGAGACTTCCTAGATCATCTCGTTTCGGTTCAAGCCAGTCGACAAGTGCTTGTTTCGAGAATCAATTGGCGAACGCAAAACATCCGGGTTGAATGACACTGGTGGAGGAGACTTCATCTGTCGAGGCATGGGAATGCTCTCGTAGGGGGCCTCAAAAGGAGGAGACCGGACATACTCCTTTCGGCTGCGGCTGGCAGAGCGGAGTCGCTCAGTGGCCTTGTGAATGCGGCCTGAGATGCTGCTGCTATCTCCGATGCTTCTGCCTCGGTTGTGGCTCCTGTGGGAAGCTGGAGCCGGAGGGCTAGCCTCTGAAGCTTGATCATTGCCAGATGATAAATCGTCATCCATGACAATCTCAATCATGCCTGATGCCACAGCACCAGCCTGTTGATGTCGCTGGGCGTGTTGCAGAGGGGCAGGAGGCGGTGGAGGTGGTGAAGCCAAATGCCTGAGTTCCTTTAGAACAGGGGGTGCTGGAGGGGGAGGAGGTGGTGGCATAGGGTCTTCGTGAGAACGTCGTCGCTCACCAGGGACAACTTCTTCGATGCGTCCAACACTGTTCTTGCGTGCAAAGCGAGCAGGGCGCTGGCCAGGCTCATCGGGGATGGGGGCTGACATGCTACGAGGAATAGGAGGTCGCGCCGGTGGCTGGTAGACAGTGGATGGCAGCAGAGTGAGACTGGGCTCAGCAACTGGCTCTTCTCTCTCAGGAGACTGTTGAGGTGAAGTTTCTGGCGAGTATCGTTGAGAAAAGCCAGCTGGAATACTAGGCACATCGGGCCTGGGCGTGCTTCCTGATTGATCATGGTGGCCCTCGATGATAAGTCGCATGGCTTTTGGGGTCGCTGGAAGTCCGATAACAGGTCCGTTACGGGCGTACATGCTTCTTTGTGGTGGCTCAGTAGCACTCCGAGGTGGGATATCATCAAGCAGCGGCTTTGGCTCAGCAGTCTCAACCGTAATTGCGAGAGCGGGAGAGAACTCGTTAGGGTGAGGGATTGAAGGTGTTTGGGCACGCTTGGCCAGAGACTTGCGGCGCTCCTCGAGTTCTCGTGCAGCCTGCTCCTTCTTTCGCTGACGTTCGTCCTTCATTTGCTTGAGATCACCAGCATGCTCAGTTGAGGCAGCTCTGCCGTGAATAGAGATAGTACCATCGAAGTTGGCAACCTCAGAGTTGGCCCTGCGTCGATGTTCCGAAGCATCTTGCTTACTCAAGGCCGGTGAGCCAAGACCTCGACTGCCACTGCGGCTGTGCTTGTTCCTGAATTCCTCTTGGGCAGCCATGGCCGCTCTGTAGTCCTCCTCATCCTCAGAGCCTTGGTAATGGTGAATGGCAGCACTCAAAGGCAAGGGTGAAGAAGGAGAACGCTGTGCAGAACTCTCCCGACCTTGACTTCGGCCACGAAGTGTAAGAGCTGGCGGGCGAGAACGGCCTTCCGGGCTCCTGCGGCGACTTCCGCGGCTTGAATTGCGGCTCTTTGGCTTGACAGTTGATCCACTGACCTTGCGGACCGTGTTTGGCTCAGCGACTTGACCATGTCGTGGAGTACTCAAGTTCAGCAAGTCCTCCGGGGACATTGGAATGGGAGAAGTAGGCGATCGTTTCGCCTTGGGCCAATTGCGAGCACTGACACGTCCACGTTCCTCAGAAGGTTCTCGGGAGCGTGCAGTTCGCTCTCGGCTTCCGGGACGACTGCGTGAAGCATCCCGAGTTCTTGAATGGCTACGCTGGCGACTTCGCTGTCTCTTGGAGTAGTGATTGGCAGCATCCAAGCTATGGATGTAGTCCTCTCGGTTTCGCACAGCTTGATGGCGAAGACTTCTTCCAGCGCTTGATGCAGATGTGACAGAACTTGTCACAGAAGCAGGACCTCTGCGGCGAGTTGGCCAGTGGTAGCGGGTAGAAGATGTAACTGACTGCTCTGGAGATGTGATGTCATCGTGAGCGGGCCCAGGATGCAGCTGTAGATTCACACCCACAGGAATGCGGTCACGGGAGCCATTGCGATGATTACGTGATGCTTGTTGCATCTTCAGCATAGTGGCCTGGTCAGGTGGTGGTGGAAAATCGCCCTCACTTGGCTGGACAACGCGTTGAGCGTGCTCTCGCATCATCATCGGGCTCGCAGTAGCAGCGCGCTGTAATGCGGTACCCATCATCATGTTGTCATTGCCAGATGGTGTCCGAGCATGACCAGATCGAGGCTCATAGTCATATGGCACAGCAGACAGCTCGGCAGATCGAAGTGCCTCCCGGTTGAGGTCTGAGGGAATCTCACCAATAGATGGCAAGCGTCCACGTCCTCGGGCAGAGACTGGGGTATTGAATCTGCTATTGTTTGAGGGGCGAAGGAAGGCCGTCGTGGCTTCGTTGTTGGATGCATGAGAGAAAGCGGGAGAGCCGGCAGAGTCAGCGATAGGGGTTACACCCGCGGCAATCGGGGTTTGACCGCCGTCGCCAGCAAAGAACTTTGACTTTTGCGTTTGATCACCAAATGAGGTGATGAGCTTGAGGGCAGAGGTCTTTGCGATGCTGCGTTGGGGGCCACGCTGTACACCGGGAGGTGAGAGAGGCGGGCTTAAGATCTCAGGAATACTTGGAGTCATAGTCTGGAAGTTCAGCTGCGCGGCGGATGGAGAAGTCCAAGGCTCAGTGGACTCCTGGTCGGTGCAAGCAAAGCATCGGATTGCTAGCTGCTGTTGGCCATGCTGAACTGCCCACTCTCCCCACTTCCTGATAATGGCAGCTTGTCGTTCCCAAACACTAGGGGCTGAGAGGCATGTGAGAATCAGCGCCTCCATATAGCGCTTGTGAGAGATATAAACCTCGATGGCGTCGTTGTGCTCACCCATACCAAGCATAATCGTAACTGCTGCGTGCACGTCGCCAGCCTCAAGTAGGCGCTGGACGTATGTATGGCCAAGCTTCTGTTGTGAGGTATGGCCCCCAATGCCGCTCAGAGCCAACAACATCCAGTCAGAAGAAGTCATGTTCTCGAAGTTTGCGTTCATGATATTGGGATCGATATCACCAAGCCATTTTGCCAAGAGAATGCGGCTGGGGGATCCTTGGGGATGTCTACTCATCTCGTCCCTAATCAGGTCTTCAACCTCTTTGTTCCATCCGAAGATGGTGTTGAGCATCTGACGACGCAGATCATCATTGGTGAGGCGAGGACTGTTGGCACCCATAGCATGCTTGTAAGGAATATCACTGAGACGCGCTCGAGTAAACTTGAATAGGTCGTGCACCTTGTTGTCGTCAGGGCTACGGGGAACTTCATTGCGCAGGCGAGAAGGTCTTCTTCTTGATCGGCTCGAGGCCATGGAAGGAACACTTGTAGTGCCAAGAGAGTATCCCATGGAGTAAGTGTCCAAATCTCTTGTGTTGCCATGAGCACTGTTGCCAATAGTTGATGACCTGATCGAGGTTCCAGCCGAGATATAGGTGTTTTCTGA